TTTTTGATTTGATTTATTTGATTTGATTTGATTTATTTATTCTTTCAAGCATGTAAAGACAGTTGATATATCAACACACATAATTTTACACATATCCAACAAATGCTAATCCAATATCAATTTGCTTATACCTAGTACATGCTTGAATGGAGTAGGAAGAAGTCAGACTTATCCAGTCCTACCCCATGAATACAGCAGACAAGAAGGATCTAATGGTACTTACTGATCTCTGGTCAGGTTCAGGTGATGAGCCCTTCTCTGCAATTCTTCTCCTGTAAGACAGAGTCCAGAATTATTTCTGAAAAACAGTTGCTATTTTTAAAAACATATCATCATGTTTAATGTTAATATCATAAAGCACAGACCACACAATTCCTCCTGAACTCCACATTTTTAAAACCTAAATTCCTTAGATTTCTCTAGATCTTACAGTGATACTTCTCTGTCAGCAACAAAGTGCATTTAAATTACGATTTTACTACATATCATCTCATAATACTGAGGAATAGTGAGAGTGATGAGTACATGAACTTATTCTTCAGGTGGCACAACAAAATCCATTGCGACCAACATTGGGGTTTGCTAAATCTACTGTATGGCAACTGTGTCAAGTTTCACTTTTCTGTAGTATATGAAACAAGATCTGAAATTCATTCATATGACTCAAGTGCCTATTTTGAGACGTACTGAATCGAAGAGTAATATATGATGTGTCGCTACCTCCTTGCTGGGAGAAATATTGTGGAAAAACATTCACACCATGCCAGCATGGCTTGTTAGAGTGCAACAGTGACTGTGTAGTGGTCAAAAACAAACAAGGTACCAGTCCAGAGGTGATATGTAATAGAATATGGTGTGTAGTTTACATATAGATATTTGTAGTAGTTATGTAAGGGTGAGCTAAGTGTTTATATAATCTTGAAGAGATCTGTTCCTGGCCACAGAACACTGGACCAGCTCTATACCATCTTCAGGGTGGTGGAGGGTTCATGGGAGTTTGCCCAACCAGTCCACATGTGTTTTGTGGATTTAGAGAAGGCATTCGACTGTGTACCCCACAGCGCCCTGTGGGGGGTGCTTTGGGACTATGGGGTCCGGGGCCCTCTGCTAAGGGCCGTTCGGTCCCTGTACGACCGGAGCAGGAGCTTGGTTCGCAACAACGGCAGTAAGTCAGACTTGTTTCCAGTGCATGTTGGACTCCGGCAGGGCTGCCCTTTGTCACCAGTTCTGTTCATTATTTTTATGACTTCTTTGTTAATGTGGGGCCTGAATTAGCAAAGAATATTTGTGACAATGATGTGTCCTATGGCACTATTGCTAATTTTATTGAAAAAAATCAGCACTCTATGTTCCTTAAACCAATAGAAGAAATGGAGGTTAGACATATAATTCATAAATGTGACAATGAGACATCGACTGACAGTAATGGAATAAGCATGTCTATTATTAAATCAGTAATTGATGGTTGTTCTAAACCACTAACTTATATCTTTAATTTGTCCTTTCAATCAGGAAAATTTCCTAATAGTATGAAAATAGCAAAGGTTATTCCGCTTTATAAATCTGGAGATAGCCAGTAGTACAGTCGATGTACCGGTCCGTCGTGGTGAAGAAGGAGCTGAGCTGTAAGGCGAAGCTCTCGATTTACTGGTCAATCTGTGTTCCTACTTTCAGCTATGGTCATGAGCTTTGGGTCATGACCAAAAGGACAAGATCCCGGATACAGGCGGCCGAAATGAGCTTTCTCTGCAGGGTGGCCGGGCGCACCCTTAAAGATAGGGTGAGGAGCACGGGAGGAGCTCAGATTAGAACCGCTGCTCCTCCACATCCAGAGGAGCAAGCTGAGGTGGCTCGGGCATCTGTTTCGGATGCCTCCTGGGCACCTTCCTGGGGAGGTGTTCTGGGCATGTTCCACCAGGAGTAGGCCCTGGGGAAGACCTAGGACACGCTGGAGGGACTATGTCTCTCAGCTGGCCTGGGAACAACTCAGCATTCCCCCAGAGGAGCTGGAGGAAGTGTCTGGAGAGAAGAAAGTCTGGGCATCTTTGCTTAGACTGCTGCCCCTGCGACCCGGTCTCAGATAAGCAGAAGAAGATGGATGGATGGATGGAGAGATCTGTTTCTCTTCTCTTAATTGTTTGGAGATGTTTGTGCATGAGGATCCTTGGGAACTATCTACTGATAGTATGCTCAAGCAAGAAGATCCTGGCTCATGTCCTCTTTGTTTAATTTATGAGTAAGCATCCAGAGAGAAGCCTCCCATAAATGGGAAGCTTCAGCCTTAAATGTTTGTGTGCGCTGGGTCAGTGCGTCCTAGAAGTTGATGTACTGGATATCTCAGACAATTCCCGGAAGAAGGGGTGTAGAGCTGGCATAAAACTGTGACTCTGGCTTAAGCAATAGGAGGATGTGTAACTGGGAGAAGATAAAAGTTGGGATAGCTATGGGTTAGGAGGAACGATGGTGCTGCAGTTAGTATTAATGTAATATTAAATGATTATTTGAATTGGGATGATTTGCCTGAAATAATTCAGTTCACACCAGACCCTAACTACTACAACTGTGCGGGGTGTAGTCACACCGAGCCGTGCTGTGAACAGCCACAGGCAGATGAACCGTGCTGGCATTGTGTGAGATGTTTTCCACTTTACTGCACAATCTAAAGTCTGTACTGAGGACAACTCGATGAGGCAAATTCTGACTTGATTTAGCTTTTCTCTCTTTACTTCACTAAAGTTGACAAATGACAACTATTCATTTTATTAAGCATCTTCACTTTACTGTTTAGTGTATTGTAACATCAATGTAATGAATGAATGATGAGTAATAAGTGTGTTGCACTGATATGAAGTGAACTGTTGGCAAGTCTTAGATGTGGTTTTGCTTTCTATCATTCATCTATTACGTCACTGCCGTTTTCTGAGTATCCCACTGACTGCAGTGATTAGTGCTGGGTCTTTCTACTTACGGGCATTAACTGAAAGCGTTGTATATACTGTGTGATGTGGAAATTAGTAAGATTTGCTGTTTTGGTCTATAACATTATCTCCTTCTGTAATAAAGTAACCTTTTGAGGTTTAATCTTGTTAGATTAATTCTGCTGACACCAAACAGCTTTAGGGGAAATTCACAATTTCATTGAAATTTATAGATACATTTATCTGAATGAACAAAAGTTACAGTGGAAACAAAGTCACTTGTGTATTAATTTCATTATTCAGTGGAATTCTGCATGAAGTTTAAACCCACATTGTTGTTTCATAGCTACATAGATTTGGTTAGTCCTGGAGAAGGTAATAGAATAGCAGAACAGGGTGACATCATGTGTGTTAACCAACATCACCTGTTATCAAGCAACCGTTACCAAGATCAGACTTCAGATGTCCAGCTAACTGGAGCTAGCATGGGCTGGCTCGCACATTAGCCATTAGCTCCCCTGCTACACTAGTAACACTCCCTACATCACCAAGGTTCTAACAATAACCATTTTGTGAGGTTTCCTTTAGCAGTAATGGTTGTAAGACACTCAGCAGTAGACAATGAGACTGATATCAGTGAGACAATACTGTGCAGAATTACATGCATACATCCCTTCCCTTGAATCTTGTTTGTCTGTGAAGATGCGAGTCTGCCACTACCTAGAAACGAACTTCTGCATACGTATGTAATTTCTCATCACATAATCTTGGGATTGGAACTCGTGGATACTGAATGGACATTGCCAGTGGTGGAAAAGGTACTCAGTTTGCTTGCTTAAGTAAAAGTCTCAGTACCACACTGTCCACTGAAGTCTGTACTTGTCCTGTTTGGTTGCTGAGCCAAACCAGACAGTGATGGAGGAGCAGAGAACAGACTCGATGATTCCTCTGTAGAACTGTTTTCTCTGAAATGAAGTGAAGTCAAAGTATCTGAAAATGAAAACGCTCAAGTAAAGTACAGATATCTCAAAACTGCACTTACAGTAAGTAGAGTACTTGAATAAATGTACTTAGTTACTTTTTACCACTGGACATTGTAGAAAAATGCAGATCTTAAGTATTAATAAAAATGGAGATTGAGGTCAAGAACATCTTAAGGATTATACCTTCAGAGATTTTTCAGTATGTACTGAGTACCTCTATATTATGCTAATGCCAATGTGTCTCACTGCTGCAACTCCCTCCACCACACCAACCCCTCCTTATGAGTTACTTTTGTGGTATATTTTTGGTAATTTATTTTCATTCATATATTAATGTTTATATGTGTGTTTGCCTAGGGGTCAGTTTTTGCAGTCCAGTTTTTTGCTTTTTGGCTATTTTGAGAGCACCCTCAAGTGAAGCTTTAAGCATGGATGGATTACTGATTGGGTCTACAGAGCTTCTGTTTGAAATGACTATTAACATTTCTCTTGGGAAAATTAGTAAAACTATCACAGAGATACAGAAAGACCACAAAGAGATGCAAAAACAACTACAAAGTGAGATAAAACAACTGAAAGAGACACTAAAAGTGACTAAAAGGAAATGCAAATAAACTGGAGCCAATCCCAGCCTTGGATATACAAGCTGGATAAAACTACACTTCTTCACAGCCTTTAAACTGCAGAGGAAGAGTTGACTTGTTTTTTTTCCTGCCGTTAGTCATAACTAATCAGATCTCACTGATGTGGCAGGTAATAACACAGATGTGATGTCATGCACTATTTTACGGTATATATTTGAGTAACCATGCAGGGATTCCCCCGTAGTTTGGAAATGTCATCCTGGAGTGTTATAAGCGGCAGCCCTGTTGTCTGTCCACTGACAAAGCCTCAGAGAAGGTTCAAGCACATACAACAAGACTTTCTATGAGATTTAGAAAGCTTATACAGGTGTAGGCATAGTTGACTGGACCATAGCTGGAACCAAACCTGGAGTAGAAAACCCAGACAAAACTCAGTGAAGTTTAAATATAGACTTGGAAATTAATTTGCACAAAACCCTAAGACTTCTGTCATAAACCTAACCTATCCACTAGTCATGGCCACGTTGACCTCCTCCTACTCTACATGGATGCTGTCTCTGCTGATGCTGCTGCCCCTTTTCGTAACTGTTTATCACTCATCCCCTATTCCCAAAGATGAACTGCATGAGTTCAGCACCAATGTGAACAAGCTGGGAGAAAGTGTGACGGTAAGGTGGCATCCATCTTTTCAGATACATTAGTTAGACTGCAGATGCATTGTGCTGCAGGTCAGAAGCTCAGTATTGTATAAATGTGATGGTACTTTGCTTTTATACTGTAAACAAAGTCAGCATTTGTTGCTTTCTTATAGACTTTCTTTTGTAGATGGGTGAAGGGTGGGGTGTTTTCATATTTTCATAAAATAAGTTGTCAAAATGTTTCTATTAAATCTTTTCAGTCATCTTGTATTTTTTAACAGTTGCAATTACAATATAACACAAATGGCATAATTCACATATTATCCTTTTTATTGTTTTGTTTACATGACAGTGTATAGTAATTATAACTGATAGTGTTTAAGTATGCCTAGGGTAAAACCCGGTCTGGTACGGACGCTAGTCCGCACAAAGTAAATTTGGAATGACGACTTGGTGTAAGGTTAGATGAAGGGCTAGGTGTTAGGCAGGTAGTGGTTATAGTTAAGGTTATGGTTAGTCTCTAGAAAGTGAAACATGCATGGGTGTGTGTGGTCAAGGTCAGTGGTGAATCCAGAGTAAAACAATCAAATACAAAACGTCAGCAATAAAAGAGTTCTTGGTAATATCACAGACACTGAGCGAAGTATTTTAATTGCACCCTTCTCCTTACAAAGGCAACAGTGATAACTGACAATGCTGTGTGGGTGGAGTGGGTAACAAGCAGCTTATCAGTTGTCACTGATGGGACTCCATTTGTCATTTTGTTCATCTTTTGATTAGCTGATGCTACTGGTGTGATGTATTAAACATTGTTCCTCTTTCTGTATGAACAGGACTGTCCTGAGAACTGCGACCCGGTTCAAATTAAAGTAAGTCTACCATGATGTTTTCTATTTTTTCATCTGACATCTTCTGTTGCCATGACCCTGACTTGATCTCAGCACTTTGCCGCACTCTCTGATTGCGGCCATTTTCATTAGCTAAATTTGGCTTTTTCACCTTAATTCTCCACCTACCTAAACTGCTTCATGGATTTTAAATGACTGATTTTAATGATTGCGCAAGGAGGCAATATCACTCTAAATACCACAGAATTCTTGCTGAGCAGAAGCTGTCCACTTCTGATGTTTCAACCCTTATTACTGAGATTAAAGTAGCACACAAAGGTGACAAATATTGTAAAACACTTAGATGGATATTTCCTCGCCATGCAATTCCGATTATTTTATTTTCTGACAAATTTATACTTTGAGAAAATATTTATTTCTTACTTTGAATTGTCAAAAATCCCAGTTCTTCACAATAAATAAATTGAAAAGAAACAAAACGATTAAAATAAAACAGTTGCATGCAACATCATCCTGTGCTTTAACTCAAAGATGTTGTAATGTTGGAGATGCTTCATAGTGATAGTGGAAGAGAAAGGAAACAGGCACAGACAGTTTAACTGCATATGTCTGCATACAAGTGCACCCTGAGGAAACCGCAAAAAAAACAAATGTAATCTTTTTTTAAAATATAAAAAATGTTTAAAGTTACTTCTACATCAGCAGAATGTCGTGGAAAATGAGTTAACATGCCGAAAATCTTCACTATGCGACGATGAAAACTGCCAAAATGCTCAGGACTGCATTCTGTATAATGACCATGTTGATGTTCTGCAGTGCACACATATAGCTTCAGCACCGTGACATCTTTAACCACTTCCTCTTTGCTGTTATCTCATCTAAATTACTCTTGTTTATTTGTGCATAGCTTTGTTGACTGGTGGATGCACAATTCTTTTTCAGCTGATTTAATCCACCTCCAATTCTTTGTGTTTGTAGTGTGTAAAAAATACAACTTATAGGTTCTTTAAATTTACGTCCTGAAAAAGAGAGTTACTGTTGCACTGTTGATTGTGAAAGAAGCTGACTACAGTACTGACTGATTACAACAAATATGAGATCTCAGACACAGGACGTGGGTCAGAAAAGTCACCGTAATTGTTGACAGCAGTTTGACATCATCTCTTCACTTTGTGTCCATAGGATGAAAAATGCCAGTGTTTTAACTTCAGCGTGTCACAGCAGGTAAGACGTGTGTGTTTTGGTTGTGAGTGCTAGCGAGAAAAAGAGAATGTAAAATGATCCTGATATTCCATTACACAGAAAATGTAATATCTGTGCTACTCAGAGAGTTTCTTCTCATGTGATAACTGACTTTAAAAACTCATGCTGAGTTTTCACACGTGGTTTTAGGGCCCAGCTAGCCAGGCATTAGAGCTATTTCAGTGAACAACATGCGCCAGTTCTTTAGTCCTGTCCACACTGTGTTATTGTTTGGTTTCAATCTGAAACTGGAGTCAATCTGAAATAGATCAGTGGAAAACAAAAGCAAATCCAAAATTACTGGCACATATATGAAGCAAGCAATCCCAGGAATCCCTTTAAATGTGAAAATTACCTAGTAACAACTGATCATTATCTAAGACATTCATTAGGCTAAATCTACACATGAAAAGAGGTGGCATGACCAGATCCTGCGGATTAGGATCACATGGTATGATCAGAACCCCAGAACAGCTACTAAACAGATTGTTTTCACAACTGTTGTTTCCAAGAGACCCATCCTCATGCTTTTGTGTGCACTAATGTCGCTGTTTTTATCTACCGAACAGGAATGTGGCTTTCCTGATTATTTCACTAAAGGCCTGGAGTTACTGCACGGCGAAATTCAGAAAAAAATAAAACATCTGAACCCACTGCTGAAGGAAATTGCAGAACATTTATCGGTAAGTGGTTTGTCACACATATTACAAAGCTGTTGTTAGTGTTGAACTGCAGCTCCCATGAGTTGTTTTTTTTTTCAGCTCACTCAATATTACTAGTTATTAACTGGTGCTAGGCAGTTTTAGCTCTATTGTTAATTCTATTAATACACCTGTAGCAGTTGGCTGATGATGTGCTGTCAGTGTTTCAGCTTCATTCCCTGATTGCCACAATTCCAGAGACTGACTGTTTTTATTAATTCAGCTGAAATATGTAATTAAGTCAGTTTTCATACCTTCCAGTGGTTCAGCCTGATCTCTAAAAACAAACAAACAAAACAACCTGGCTTTGGAACCCTCACATTACAATACAAATCTGCAGTGAGCAGTCATACAGAATATGAATTTCAAATCAAGCTCACAGACTGACAACCTTGGCGTATTGTGGCCTCATGAAGTTGTTATGGCTATTGTGTTGCCTATTTGATGAGATATATGGTGCTTTATATATAACATTCATGTTCATGTATTTGTCTTCTCAGGTAAATGGCAGCTTTTGTTCACAGCCTGTGAACAGGAAGCCGGTCATGTCACCAAAATGCCTCCATAAGAAACTGGATAGCCTGAAAATGCAGCTCAACAGCAATAGCGGCTCATTTCAACAACTTCAGATAGCGATAGAGGACTGTTAACCTGTTTCCGCAGTGGTCTTACAGTGCTGTGGATAGCCTTCTCAACAAATGGCATTCAGCAATGACCCAGCATGTCAGTGACAGAATTTGGCACAAGAGTGATAACTGTCTGCTTTAAACATATTTGTCTAATTTCTTCACAATCCATCCATTTTTAGATAGATGTATCATATAGTTAACGAGATGCACAGTACTTTCAATAATCTATTGGCTCAGTCAAGTGTTGTTTAGGTCAAACATTATCTCATGATATGTTTGTTTGATATTTAAATGTTGACAGTAATGCTTTATATATTTTCTATTTGTTACTGATAATCAAACAATATGAAGCATGTTTGTTATATTGTATTGCAACACATTAATGTATTATTTTGTACCTATTATTTATTTTATTTATTCTTAAACTGAGTTAAGGATACAGGTCAACAGAATTACTTATTCATTATTTATTGTATCTGTCACCATATGGGTGTGAAAAAACAGCTGGACATATACACTGTAAAATATACATTATATTTAGCCTTTGAGTAGTATACTGCATAAAGACTGAGCCGTAGTGCTCATAGATTCACCTGCAGTGTTATCTTATAACAGTGACTATTCAGCTCTCTGGAGTGTTGTTTAAGCTCATTTCAGATTTTTCATGTTTTGTGAATCACTTGGTCAAATGTTACACAAATAAAATGATTATTGTCATTAATCCAGCATTTTGGTTTGTTGCTGTAATCACTTCTAACTTTATACAATAGCTTAAAGAAGAGTATTAAAGTGAAACAGCCATGTAATGGCTGCGTGAGAAACGAGTCTAAAGCCATGCTAGCAGCTCTTTGAGGCTGCATGTAGACACAGCGGTGTTTAGAGCTACAGTGGTGTGAAAAAGTGTTTGCCCCCTTACTGATTTCTTATCTTTTTGCATGTTTGTCACACTGTAATGTTTCAGATTGTCAAACAAATTTATATATTAGTCAAAGATAACACAAGTAAACACATCATGCAGTTTTTAAATGAAGGTTTTTATTATTAAGGGAAAACAAAATCCAAAACTATATAGCCCTGTGTGAACAAGTGTTTGCCCCCTAAACCTAATAACTGGTTGGGCCACCCTTAGCAGCAACAACTGCAATCAAGCATTTTCGATAACTTGCCATGAGTCTTTTACAGCGCTGTGGAGGAATTTTGGCCCACTCATCTTGGCAGAATGGTTGTAAGTCAGCCACATTGGAGCGTTTTCGGGCATGAACTGCCTTTTTAAGGTCATGCCACAGCATCTCAATTGGATTCAGGTCATGACGTTGACTAGGCCACTCCAGTCTTCATTTTGTTTTTCTTCAGCCATTCAGAAGTGGACTTGCTGGTGTGCTTTGCATCATTGTCCTGCTGCAGAACCCAAGTTCGCTTCAGCTTGAGGGCACAAACGGATGGCCGGACATTCTCCTCCAGGATATTTTGGTACACAGCAGAATTCAGGGTTCCATTTATCACAGCAAGTCTTCCAGGGCCTGAAGCAGCAAAACAGCCCCAGACCATCACACTACCACCACCATATTTTACTGTTGGTATGATGTTCTTTTTCTGAAATGCGGTGTTAC